GGAGGTCTGACCCACAGAGAGGAGGTCTGACCCACAGAGAGGAGGTCTGACCCACAGAGAGGAGGTCTGACCCACAGAGAGGAGGTAGAGAGGTCTGACCCACAGAGAGGAGGTCTGACCCACAGAGAGGAGGTCTGACCCACAGAGAGGAGGTCTGACTCACAGAGAGGAGGTCTGACCCACAGAGAGAGGAGGTCTGACCCACAGAGAGGAGGTCTGACCCACAGAGAGGAGGTCTGACCCACAGAGAGGAGGTCTGACCCACAGAGAGGAGGTCTGACCCACAGAGAGGAGGTCTGACCCACAGAGAGGAGGTCTGACCCACAGAGAGGAGGTCTGACTCACAGAGAGGAGGTCTGACCCACAGAGAGGAGGTCTGACCCACAGAGAGGAGGTCTGACCCACAGAGAGGAGGTCTGACTCACAGAGAGGAGGTCTGACTCACAGAGAGGAGGTCTGACTCACAGAGAGGAGGTCTGACCCACAGAGAGGAGGTCTGACTCACAGAGAGGAGGTCTGACCCACAGAGAGGAGGTCTGACCCACAGAGAGGAGGTCTGACTCACAGAGAGGAGGTCTGACCCACAGAGAGGAGGTCTGACTCACAGAGAGGAGGTCTGACTCACAGAGAGGAGGTCTGACTCACAGAGAGGAGGTCTGACCCACACTTTTTGATGGATTAATCCATAAATGTCAGTGAGTTCCTGTCATTGTTGTGCAAAAACCACAATGTGAACTAAAGACTAATCTTCCCATAACTGTTGCGGACCACCATCTGCTGTGACTGCGAGCCTGCTGATGTGACTTACCGGCGCCCTCTGCTGGATTTTCAATGAATGATGAGATAATATTCATTTGTATTCATGTTTTTAGGTTCATTCAGGATTCAGTTATTTGACAAATACATAGATACATGTTTCTTCTTCGCCCCTATAGAAACCTGAAAGAGTGGGAGGAGTCTATCTTATCTTAAGAAGTAAGACTTATGAACTTCTAAGTACACATACATTCACTTCAGCTGCCTGGTCAGTAAAACTATTATTTCTACAATTATAAATGACATCGTAATCATTAGAGTCTCTCTTATTCTCGTCACCATCACCATGGCAACGAAAAGTGAACGTTCGTAGATGACGTCAGGTACTGGCCAAAGCTGACCAATGCAGGTGAAAACAGGACACTGTATGACAGTTAAATGTGGGGCTTAAATCAGATAAATATGTGTCACTGGAGCAGTAGAGTGTTAGAGCCATGTTTACATGACGCTGCCATCAGAGGGCAGGCTGTGACAATGTAGCCCCAGAGACAGTAGAAAATACGCAGCTACAATTTTATATTAAGTGATTGTGGCAAAAAGTCAGCAGGACTCTCAAAAGCTCCCAGAAAGTGTGAGCACACACTTGTGTAAAACATTAAGTCTTTCTTTTCTAAATGCTCCTTCTTCACATTACTGCAGAAACTGGACTCCAACACCACTCGTCGGCAGAGGTTTTCTCCAAATTCTCTTCATTTCTCCAGGTTCAGGTTCAGTTGAGTTCTGCTGTACAGCCTGGATGTCTTTGGGAGGGTCTAGCAGGTGTTACCTAACAGAACAATGAGCAGTAGATTAGTTCAACAAAACAATGAAGAATATTAAAAATATCATACTTACATAACAATCATAAGCAACACAGGACGGTTGTCCTTCAGGAACATGTTTCCCACACACCTGGAATTGAAGAAAAATACTTTAGTAATGTAGTAATGATTTTAAGGTTTTTA